AAAGGAAGAATACTACAAAAAATAAATTTCAAGCGATAGTGTAAAAATGTTTATATAATTAAATTTCACATGTAGAAAATTTTAGTTAATAAATAAAACTCATAATTTCATAATGAAAAATTACAAAAATATAAAGATACTATTAGGATATTATACATAAGATAAGCATATATCATATATATAACACAAATTAATAATTATTAAAAATATTGGTAGGTTTTTTATAAAAATAAAAGGTATATCTCTTTATAATTTTGATGAATTCAAAATTATAATTTAGTAAAAAAATATTACATTATTTAAATTTTCAGTAAACGATAAAATGAGAAAACTAATCAAATATTATAGTAGAAAAGAATGTATGAAAAGAAGGGGGAGGGGGAGGGGAGATAAAGATAATGTTATGGTATTTATGTTTTGACTTAATTAAAAAATAAAAGATAAATAAATAAAACTCAAAAAAATTATTGATAAATTTATACCATTGAAGAATTTTGAACTGTGTAATATAAGTTTAACAAAGAACAAAAATATTTTCAGAGAAAAAAAAATATATCTATGTTATAACGAGAAGTAATATCAAAATATTAAGCCAATTGACAATTTAATAAAAAGTCACATTAGTAAATGTATATAGTATTAAGTACTTGCTAATTTAATAAAGAATAAATAATGAACAAACAATTTATTTGATTACTATATGATGTGTATCCTTTTATTTTATATAGACTTTGTTATATTTCTGCACACTATATTAAATAATAAAATAATAACAATGATTTATTAAAATAATATGATATATTAGATCATAATTTTATAAAATTAATATTCTGTCAAATTATCTGCGTATCGCGGGAATTCTAACACTAGTTAATTTTAAAAACAAAAAATACTATTATCAATTTGAGAGCAGCAATTTATGTTTGACTGAGATCTCAAAAGTGCTTCTGAAAGATCTATTTTTTTTTTCAGAACCCATTACTCTAAAATTTAACCAAACAACTCAATTCTCCAAAATAAGTAATTCTTTTTATTTATAAAAAAAACACTTTTGGCTTTCCAAAGATTGAGCACATATGCTATAAGTCATTCTCTAGTTTTCAATTGTCAATATATATTTTTCAAAATAAATATTTTTTCTCGAGAAATATACTTTCGTCACTTATTAACATAATTTTTTTTCTTAGTAACTATCTCAACTTTTGACTTCATATCATTGTCTAATCAATATATATCCATTAGACCATTATATTGTCAATAACTAATATATTGTTATAAATAGAATTTTATTTAGGGTAAATGTCTATATTTAGAGAGATTCTACGGTTTATTACTTGGTGGCTAAGTCACCCTCTCCCTATAAATAGAGGGTTATACTCCATTGTAATTCATCCAAAAATTAGATAAAAATTCTTTTATTTTACTATAAATAAGTATCTTACTTTATTTTTCTCTTTTAGATTCTTGACATTCTATAATTTGATTTTAAATACAAGCAAAGACAATAAATCTTGATTTTAACTCTAATGGAGTTTGAAAGAAATTATAACCACTCAAAGTGGTAAAATTTCTATATCTTGCCATGATCAAATTCAGGTATGATTGCGAGCAAAGAATTGAAAACCCGTCCCATTAAATTTGCTCCATTCTCATTCCCTTAAAAAAATGTGATAGCAATATGTAATAAGTCTGAAAGAAGACAAAATTATTACCATAAAGGTATCAATGGATGTGGACGTGGTAATAGACGAAATTATAATCGTCATTATCGTGGTAATGAGAATAATAAGGATTCTCAAAATAAGCCTACTCTATGAAGTTAATGTTTGTCATCGATTTGACATAAAATTTCGTAAAGCACATACAGATGACTATGGTCAATTCATGATGTGAATGTGATAACATCTGATTTATGAATACATATTCATTCTGGGAAGAATATGAACGTGCTAGTGGTAGTGAATATACCACGCACTCACCTCTAGAAGGAGGTTTGAGATGATATAAGAAAATAATGTCATTATTATGGCATGAATGGTCATTGGTCACGTACCTATTGTACGCCAAAATATTTTGGCAATGTGATTATTAAAAGACAACAGTAATGCAAGAAACAGATCTTGCATATAATTTTGACCATAACCATAATGGTATAACTTTCTCTTTAAAAGAGATATTCACCATATGAGTGTTGATGAATATACGGTACTACAAAATTAATTGAGAACTCTGCAAGAGCCAATTATACTATTTTGGAGAAACACAATTGATTACCAATAAGGTATTGTGTTGTAGTAAGTCTCAAAGAAACTTATTCAGTTTCCAAAGTATAGCGAAAGCGGTTGGTTATATTGAGACTATAAATAAAGAAAAGATTTAATATCTTCTATTACTACAATTTGTAGTGGGGTAATATGTATGTGAAAAGTTACCCGCTTTATTCTCCAGTTTGTAGTACACAAATAAAAGAATACCACAATAAAGTGGATGTTTATTGATATAAAAACCCATATCATAATAAACTTGGAGTTTATTGATAATTGCACACGTCATGGTGTAAACATGAACTTTATCAATATTCATAATTTATCCTGTTGGCATAACTAGTTTAGCCATATCAATTTAAGTATGATGTGCAAAAATAGAAGAGAGTCCATATGGGTAAATATTAAAGAACTAGAAAGTTCTTTACTAGAAAGTTCTTTACGACTCTTATGTTGCCTGTTCTCATTAATTAATATACCAACTAAAATTGGGATTGAATCCATGAATGCTGGAAATATCAAAGGTGAATATGGGTCCATTCACCTGCCATGTATACCACATAAGAAGCATTTATGAGATGGTTATATGTGCGATTATTATTAACCCGCAACATGGTGTTTGCGAGGTAACTTGCTCAATAATTTGATTTAGAGCATAATTTCCAGATTTTTTATTCAAGATAGTTTATCTTGATAAGTTGGTTTACATCACAGCTGGTTTAGCAAAATAATTTATTCAGTGCCTCCACTTAATAGCCAAACTATTGCTTATGAGAACAAAGTTATCTATATCAGTTTGATATAGGTTATATACGAAAGTACATTACATTCTCTCCTCACAAATGGTTTAGGGTCAGAAACCAAATAATTCCATCTTATTATTATTGATGTGCGGTGTATATTTTGATTAACACCATAACGTACAAAGATGGATCTTCAAAGTTGAGGAAGCAAGTTAGTTTTTCTAACATGAGGGGGAGACATGATAAACAATTGAGAAAAAGTTACGTGGAGTGAATTATCATTTGTACATTTAGATCCTCGAATAAGATAATATGAACTTGAAGTTCATAAAAAGATAATTCATTTGCAATATATTGCAAAGCATGCCAGACGCATTTGCTGACCCAAAGAAAGCAAACATATTCTCATTGCAAATGCTCATATTAAGTCCTAGAAGGACAAAGTCTATGGTACGCTTAAAGCGCATAGACAGATCAGTTTCAAATAAACTTCTTGATAAAGAAGATGAGCAAATGATCATAAATTAGGAGGCAAGTGATCTAGAAGATCACATGACATAACACTTCATAAAATCTCATGATACCTGAGAATATGAATGAAGAGATCTCTATGTTATGTCATTATGAAAATATATTGAAACTGATATAAAATGTTTGTCGACGACATCTACGATAGCGCTGGATGAGGATTTTAAGTTTGTCGAATACAAACACCAAAATATTGGCCAAATAGAAAAGACACAATTCAAATAGATTTGGTTTCATATGAAAGACATGTAGTTTTGAACATGTAGTTCAAACACTTGAAAGTATAAAGTCAATAGTATGTGCAATCAGTTTTCGATATCTTATATGTCTAGCATGACATGAAAACTTGATATGCATCTAAAGTCTATTATATGACTTATATGACTTAACAATCCCTGAAGGATTTAAATTGTTTAAAGCATATAGAATTCATGGTCATGAAGTACTGCATCCTCAGTGCAATTTGTGCACAAATGTATCTTGCTATAACTATAGGCATGATAATATGATAGCAAGAGTTTTCACCTCTATGTGAAGATATTGAAATGACGATTCCAACAAGATCATATGAAGACAATACATCTATTAGGGATGATGATTTCAAGGTGAAATAAATACGTTCAAGTTAATATGGCCGATTTGTTTATCAAATCTCTACCAACGATATTTTGAAGATGGTGCACAAGATTGGAATGCAAATGTTCAAAGATATGAATTGATGCTCTCATCAGGGGGAGTTAATACGCGTTGTACTCTTTTTCCCTTACAAGGTTTTGTCCCATTGGGTTTTCCTTGCAAGGTTTTTAACGAGACAACCAAAAGGCGTATTTCTAAACATGTGTACTCTTTTTCCTTCTCTAGAATTTTTTTCCCACTGGATTTTATTTTAGTTAAGGTTTTAACGAGACACATTATCTGTTGAATAGACATTCAGGGGGAGTGTTATAAATAGAATTTTATTTATGGTGAATGTCTATATTTAGAGAGATTCTAGGGTTTATTACTTGGTGGCTAAGTTACCCCTCCCTATAATTAGAGGGTTCTATTCCATTGTAATTCATTCCAAAATTCAATAAAAACTCTCTCTCCTTTCTCCTACTCTTCTTCTTCATTTATTGTTTTATAACATACATAAAATTCTTATCAAAGCTACATTTGATTTGCTAACACTGTTATCCATCATTTCTTTCCGTAAGTATTTTCTGCTCATCAACCACACAATTTTTTTTTTAGAATTTATTTATCAAAATAACTTATGTTTTTTAAACAATATATCCTTAAAATGATCTTTTGTTTTTTCGTCTTTTAAAATGATTTTCGTCTTTTTACAAACAAAAAATTGTACTTGTTAAACCCGCCTCCCCCCNNCCACAAACAAACAACACACACACGACTACTACT